AGAGCACTTGCAATTGGCCTGCAAGCACGCGATGGCTGCCTTTTTTGCGGCATAACACAGCCAGTAGCAACGCTCCAGGCGTCGGAATACGACGCACGATTCCGCGCGCCGCTCCCATTCCGCGCGCGCTGCTCGTCGTGCTCTGGGCGAGCATGCAGTTCGCCGGCGCAGCGAACACCTGCGCCGCCACCGAGGCGGCGAAGCCGTTCTGGATCGTCGCGCGGCAGAGCGGCAGCGTGCGGCGCGACATCCCCATCTTCGCGACGAGAGATCACGCCATCGCGCTCGAAGCCGAGGGCCCCGGGAGCGTGACGCGGCGCGACTTCTCCGAGGGCATCTTCCTCCTCGACAACGTGCTTCACGCGGGCGAGTGCGACGCCATCGTCGCCACGTCCCAGGCCATGGGCTACACGGAGGACGCGCCCGTGTCCCTGGGCCGCAACGTCCGCCGCAACGAGAACTGCGTCTGGATCGTCGACGACGCGCTCAACGACGCCGTCTTCGAGCGCGCGCGGCGCATGCTGCCGCCGATGATCCTGCTCCAGACGCGGAGCGGCCAGGACTTCCCCGTGGGGCCCGTCGCGGGCCTGAACCGGCGCTGGCGGCTCTACCGCTACGGCGCGGGCGACGTCTTCAAGTTCCACACGGACGGCGGCTGGCCGGGCAGCGGCCTGGACGCCAGCGGCGCGCTGGTCCAGGACCTCCACGAAGGCCGGCGCTACTCCTGGCTGACCTTCCTCATCTATCTCAACGACGACTTCGTCGGCGGGCAGACCAAGTTCGCGCTCGACGGCCGCGAGGCGTTCGCCGTCGCGCCGAAGAAGGGGTCCGTGCTCTGCTTCCTGCACGGCCACCACCCCCTTTCTCCCCTGCACGAGGGCGGCCTCGTCACGGAGGGGACCAAATACGTCGCGCGCACGGACGTGCTCTACGAGATGCCGCCGCCGCCCTAATTTTCCCCCGAAACCCCAAGCCGCGCCTGCCACTTTGAACACCTGCGACCGGGGCCGTGGCTCCGTGGCGAAGGCGAGAGCCCCTTAACGGGACCGTGGTTTTTTTTTATGTGTCGGCCTCGAGAAACGCGCGTGTATGTTCAGGGTCAAAGTGCTCAAAATCTCAGCAGGAGAGCCGCTTGCGGTTCTTCGCGCGGCGGCGCTTGAGGATGTTGCGGCCGTGGCGATCTTCGAGGCGCTTGAGGAAGCCGTGCTTCCGCTTGCGGCGGACGAGGCTCGGCTGGAACGTCCGTTTCACCGCGCGGAGCGGCGCGAGCGCGTCGTCGGCGGCCGGCAGCTCGAGCGGCGCGGGGACGTCGTTCCAGGACGCGACGATGTCCTCCGCGCTCTGGAGGGGGCCGAAGGCCCGCAGCGCCGCCTCGTCGTGGAGGAAGGGGTGCTCGAAGGAGGGGTTGAGGATCGACGGCCCGTGCATGAAACGGGCGGCGCAGCGCGGGGCGAGCGCCGCGGCGGGGCGGGACGCGACGCGCGCGGCCAGCCGCCGCGACGCCGCGGCCAACATGGTGCGGCGCGGGGGTGACGACGACGTCGGGAGAGCGCCCGGACGACGACTGCGGGCACGAGGCGGGCTGGAGATCGGCCGAAGCTGCCGAGATCCTTGGAGATCTCTTGGAGCGGCATCGGCCTCTTGTCGCGCGCAAGAGTGCGAGCTGACCGTCGCCAGTGCCACTCTCAAAGTGCATGCATCGCGGCCTCCGCTTGCTCACCACAATATCAACGGTCCGCGCTCTGGAGAGGATGCCGACGCTCAAGCTCACCTATTTCGACATCCAGGGCCCGGCGGAGCCGGCCCGCCTCGCGCTCACCATCGGCAACATTGACTTCGAGGACAAGCGCGTGAGCGGCGACGAGATGCGGGCCATGCGCGCCGCCGGCGAGCTCAAGGGCGGCGGCCAGGTGCCGCAGCTCGAGGTCGACGGCGAGGTGCTGTCGCAGTCGCAGGCCATAACGCAGTTCTGCGGGCGCCTCGCGGGCCTGTACCCGTCGGACCCGTGGACGGCCGCCAAGGTCGAGGAGGTCATCATGATCGTGAACCAGGACATCCGCGACCGCTGCATCGCGCCGACGATGCGCGAGCAGGACCCGGAGAAGAAGGCGGCCATGCGCAAGGAGCTCTCCGACGCGAAGCTGCCCGAGAAGTTCGCGTTCCTCGAGGCGCTCGTGCAGCCTAGCGGCTACATGGTCGGCGACTCCCTCACCATCGCGGACCTGCACGTCTACGTGCTCATGAACTGGATCGGCATGAAGGTCCTCGACGGCGTGGACCCGGTCTGCGTGCTCAACGCGGCCAAGCTCAAGAACCTCTGCTCCGTGCTCAACGACCACCCGGCGATCAAGGCCTGGAACGAGCAGAAGAACGCGGGCAAGGTGCCCTGGTTCTAGGTCGCGCGCGAGGAGGGGGGAAGCACCACTGAGATTTCCTATCCGTTGCGTTTTATTTCGTTGCGGCTCGCTGTATGTGTTTGGTTCCGCTCATCGGCTCGCTCTATGTAATTGGTTCCGCTGATTTCAGCCCGAGACGGCATGGAGGCATTAAATTTAGTCGAGCGCGCCTACCACCGCGCGCGCGCCCCCGCGTGCAAGATCGCTGGGACCGCGCATAGCGCGCACATGGGGGCTGCCATCGGCGAAGGAGCGGCATCGTCTAGATTGCGATTCGCTGAGAACGCGAGCGGTTTCGGACGACCGATTTGACCGACGCGACGCCCCTCCCCCGGCCCGTGAGCGGCCCGGGCAGCCCCGCGCAGCAGCAGGGATCGTCCGCCATCGACCCGCGAGCGCCCTGCCACAAGGGCTGGCCCAGAGGAGCCGAGGAAGTCGATCTGACATGTTCGGGCTGAAACCGCGTCGCGCGCGGCCGCGCGGCCGCGCGCGCATGTCGCACGTCCTTCGAGCCAAACCAGCAACTGAGCAGCCCGAGGGCACCAGACGTGTACCCCGAGCCTCCGCGCCAGCCATCACGCTGCCCGAAGCCCAAAAAGTGCTGCTCTGGCGGTCAGAGAGCATGTCGAAAAGTAGCGAGTTCGCGTGCACATAAAAATCGAACGCCGACGCGGCCATGGTCACGGCGCACACTCCTGGAGAGAGGGCGCGCCCGGCATTCAGACGCATGTTCCCGTGACCATGGCCCCGTCGAACGCCGCGCAGCAGCCAAATGCAAAGAGAGGCTCTCCATGCTTCTCCCCCCATTCGCGCGCGCGCGCTAAGTTGAAGCCGAACCTGGCGATTCAAAGCCCGGCAGATGGGGCCGCCGCGAGAAGCCTGAGAGGCCGCCGGGATGAACGCCAAGGCCCTCGTGCGCGAGTGGCGGCACAGCGTGCTCCAATGCATTCTCCTCCTCACGGTGGCGACCTTCGTCGACGATAGCCTGCGCGTGGTCCTCAACTTCGACGGCCACGCGCTCATCGTCGTCCAGCTCGCCGCCGGGCTGCCGCCCTTCCAATCCTACCGGCGCACGACCAAAGAAATCCTCGCCGGCCGCTGCGCGCTGCTCCTCTCGGTCGTCATCCAGGCCACGGGCTGCCTCTGCGTCCTCGGCGGCGCCGCGGCGCCGTTCGGCTGCGAGCTGTTAATTTTGTGGTGCGTCGCGCACCCCGTCTTCTACGGCCAGTGGAACCACGCGGAGTTTTTAGCAGAGACCGTCTCCCTCATCGGCGGGCTGCTGGTGCTCCGCGGCTACCTCGACAAGGAGCGGTCGGGCGCGCGGTGCCGCCTCGCGGGCCGGCTGCTCCTGCCGTCGCTCTACGCGTACCACGCGGCATCGGCCCTGTCGAAGAACCTGCGCGACGAGTACCACGCGGCGGAGCACACCTGGGCCATGTACGCCTACGACGCGTGCCTCGTCGCGGGCCTGGTCGCCGCGGTGCTCGCGGTGTGCCTCGGCCTCCGGTCGCGCATCGTCGCGCTCGCGCTCGCGCTGCTCAACCTCGGCGTCGTCTTCGTCGAGCACCCCTTCTGGGCCTACCGGGGCGTCACGCGGCGGTCCCAGCTGCCCCAGGCGTACTGGAATTCGCCCATCATCGGCGAGATCGGCGCGGGCGTCGCGCCGGACCAGTACTGCGACCTCCACCAGTACTTCTTCTTCCAGGGCGTCTCGACGACGGGCGCCCTGCTCCTCCTCGCCTACCACGGGCCCGGCGACCACGCCGTACAGAGCGACGAAAACGTCGTCGAGCGCCTCCTGCCCGCGGTGAACCGCAACAAGGACTGAGTCGGGGTGCGATGTGGTTTACACAAACAGGCCCGGGCGGTGTCCTTTCCGGGGGCTTGGTCTTCGGGCCGCGCGCGCGGACGAGGCGGCGGCGGCCGTCCCCGACGGACGGCGGGGGGGCGTGTCTTGGTGGCGTCCGCGTCCTAGAAGTGGTGGGAGTAGACGAGGGCCTCGTAGGTCGGGAAGGGGTAGATCTCGGCGCTCATCTCGCTCTCGGCGGCGTCGACGGCCGCGCGGAGCGCGTCCATGGCGGGCTTGATGGTGTCGCAGAGGTAGGTCGCCTCCGCGGCGAGGTCGTGGGGCTTCTTCGCGAAGAGGCCCTCGAGGTCCGCGCACTTGGTCTTGATCGCGCCGTAGGTCGCGGCCTTGTCGCCGGCGAGCGAGGGCGCGGCCGCGTAGAGCGCCAGATCCTTGGCGCAGGCCGGCAGGAAGGCCGTCTTGACCATGGCGACCATGGTCTCGACCTCCGTGCAGAGCGTCGTGTTGTAGTTCTCGTACATGACCTCCGCGCGCGCGTCCGTCTCGTCCTCCGCGTAGATCTGGAGGTCCTTGAAGAGCTGCTTGTTCTTCGCCGACGCGAACTCGGGGATGGCCAGCGGCGTCGTGTTGAGGTTCGGCAGCCCGCGCTTCTTCGCCTCGACGGGCCACTCGGCGCTGTAGCCGTTGCCCGTGAAGATGACGTGGCGGTTGTCCTTGAAGAGCTGGGCGACGGCCTCCTTGTGGGACTTGCCGCCCTCGACCAGCTTCGTCAGCGCGGAGAAGCCCGCGGCCATGACCGCGTTGCACGCGAGGATGGGGAACGCGCAGTTCTGCGACGACCCGCACGCGCGGAACTCGAAGCGGTTGCCGCAGAAGGGGAAGGGCGCCGTGCGGTTGCGGTCCTCGACGTTCGTCTCCACGGGCGCCGCCGACGCGCAGCCGGGCGCCGCGAGCTTCTTCTCGGCCTTGTAGGTGTCGAGCTCCGCGGTGCCCGCGATCAACGCGTCGACGTGCTGCTCGAAGCCCGTGCCCGGGTAGAGCGAGATGATGGCCGGCGGCGCCTCCTGGGCGCCTAGACGGTGGTCGTTGCCCGCGTGGGCCACGGAGCAGCGCACGAGCTCGTTGTGCTGGGCGAGGCCGTAGGCGAGGCACGCGACGCCCGTCGTGAACATCTTCATCGCGTCGGGCGTCTTGCCCGGGTAGAAGAAGTTGAGGCCCGAGTCCGTGCCCACGGACCAGTTCGCGTGCTTGCCGTTGCCGTTGATGCCCGCGAAGGGCTTCTCGTGGAAGAGGACGACGAGGCCCCGCTTGTAGGCCTCCTTCGTGCAGATCTCCATGAAGAGCACGTTGCCGTCGGCCGACGCGTTGGACGCGCAGAAGATGGGCGACATCTCGTGCTGGCCCGGCGCGACCTCGTTGTGGCGCACGGACATGGGCATGCCGAGCTTGAGGCAGATGGCCTGGACGGCCACGAGGAGGTCCTCCACGGACGGCGGCGTCGCGCCAAAGTAGTTGAGGTCGCCGTTCTGGTTCCGCGGGGGCAGCTTGCCGAAGAGCGTGCGGCCGCAATTGACGAGGTCCGGCCGCTTCTTGTAGAGCTCGGCGCTCACGACGAAGAACTCCTGCTCCCAGCCCAGGTAGGAGTAGAGCGTCGTCGCCTTGGGCTCGCAGCCGACGGCCTTGAGCATCTTGAGGCCCTCGCGGGCGACGGCGTCCTGGGACCGCAGGAGGGGCGTCTTCTCGTCGATGCACTTGCCGTCGTGGGTCACGAAGGCGCAGGGGATGCGCAGCACCTTGTCGTAGACGAAGCACGGGCTCGACCGGTCCCACGACGTGAACGCCGCGGCCGTGTGCGTCGCGCGGAGGCCGCCGTTGGGGAAGGACGAGCCGTCGGTCTCGCCCGTGTAGAGGCGCCCGTCGGGGAACATGGCCTTGTAGGGCTTGATGGACGCCGACGAGCTCCAGTCGAGGTCGATGAACGCGTCGCACTTGAGCCCGCCGAGCATGCCGCCGACCGCGCCGCTGCCGCCGCGCATGGGGAAGAACCAGTGGGCGTAGTCGGTGGCGCCGAGCTCGCGGGACCAGGCGAAGAGGGCTTTGGAGATGACCTCCTGGTCCGCCTCGGACGTCGCCGCGCCCGAGACGAGCGCCTCCTTGAAGCGGCCGTAGACGTCGGCGGGCAGCGTCTTCTCCATGGCCGCCTCGTTGTACTGGGCGCTCGCCATGTCGAGGAGCGGGTCGGCGGCCATGGCGTCGGCTTTCAGCTTCGCGGCTTCGAGGTCGCTCTTAGCAGGCATAACAGGCGCAACGCGAAGGAATGGCTGCTTTGCGTGGGCTGTCGCCTTCGCGTTATTATGCACATTCAAGCGCGATTACCGTACAACATCAAGGTCGCCACGTATCATTCGCCCAAAAAGGCCAACGGACTTGCACGTGCTTACAACTCCTCCGGATCCTGAGCTCTCGAGGCTCTCCTGCAGCGCGTTCAAGCGCGATTACCGTACAACACCAAGGTCGCCACGTATCACCTCGCCCAAAAAGGCCAACGGACTTGCACGTGCTTACAACTCCTCCTGCAGCGCCTTCACGTTGATCGTGTCGCAGGCCGGGCCGTAGAAGCCGGCGAAGCACTTGCAGAGGCCCGACTCGTGGTCGCAGAGCCCCCGGTTCGAGCAGTCGACGTGGCACTTGTTGCCGACCTTGCCGACGCCGTAGCCGCCGTCCGCGGTGACGTTGAAGCAGTCCGTCTCGTCGCGCCGCGTCATGGGGTCGTCGCCCGACGGGCAGTGCATCAAGGAGCAGTCGGCGCCGAAGTACTCCGGCGTCTGGGTCTCGTTGGCCTCGAGGCCGACCTTCCACGACGAGTCGCAGACGCAGCCGAAGATGCGGTCCGCGTCCCACGTGTGCGACGGCCGCTGGTTGTTCGAGTGCGCGTAGGACCGGTTCTCGCGGCTCGTCAACGGCAGGGCCTCGTCGAGCATGGCCAGGGCCCGCATGGTAGCGCAGGTGCCGTGGCCGCTGCAGTCCCCAAAGTCCGCGTCCCAGCCGGGGCACGCGCGGCGCTCGCATGCGGGCCCGCTCCAGTCCCCGAAGCACGTGCACGTGCCCGACGTGCCCTTGCACAACCCCGTGCCCGAGCAGGGCACCAAGTCGCCGTGGGCGAAGCCCGGCTGCGTGGGCATGCCCGCCCAGGCGTGGCCCATGGGGCACTTGATCTCCTCGCAGTTGAAGTTCGTCTGCGAATTGTCGAAGGTGCCGTGGCGGTCGACGCAGGAGCACGTCGACGTGCAGTGGTCGCAGGCGCCGTTGCCAGAGCAGTAGTCGAGGGCCTTGCAGCCGTCGCCGATGGCGTCGGCGGACGCGACCGTCGCCGGGGCCGCGATCGTGTAGTTCTGGTGCTTGTCGACGATCGACGTGCGCGGGCCCCGGACCTCGAACTTGGTGTGCTCGTAGGGGCCGGGCATGCCGCACTGGGCCCGGAGCTGGTGGTCCGGGATGACGAGGGACACCGTCGTGCCCGCCGTGATCGTCACGCCGCTGCGCACGGTCAGGATCAGCGTCGAGTTGCGGAAGCCGGCCTTGTGCTGCTCGTAGCAGCAGCCCTCGCGCCACCGGCCCCGGAACAAAGTCGAGCTGCCGACGACGGCTAAATCGTCGCGGACGATGACCCTCCGGAGATCCGGTCCCATGGTGCCCGTCGCCTCGCCGGACGTCCAGCCCGCCATGTTCACGCGGACCTCGTAGTTCGCGTAGAGGTGCATCGCGGGGCGGAAGCCGACGGTGATCTGCGACGTGAGCTTGGGCAGCGCGGGCCGGAACTGGAGGCTCGTGTCCGTCATGTAGCACGTCGCCTTGACCCCCTCGCTGAAGTTGAAGGGCCGCGGGTACTGGGCCTTGCTGTCGTTGACCGCGTACGCGCTCACCATCATGTACGGCGAGTTCTCGGATATGCCGCAGTTGGGGCGGATGTCGTTGGACGGGTCGATGACCACCGTGTGGCGGTAGCCCGGCTTCTGGTTCACGGCCGCCAGGGCCGTCAGCGTCAGCTCGCTGTCGCGGTAGGCGCCGTCGACGGTGCCCTCGACGTACTCGCCGGACCACTCCTCGAGACCCGACGGCGACCCCAGGAGCACGAGGCCGTCGGAGATGGCCGCGCCGTTGGCGTTCTCGCAGTTGCCCCGCGTCATGCCCCCGAGGTAGAACGTGATCTGGTCCCCGACGGCGAAGCCGCCCTCGACGTCGAAGATGACCGTGATCTCCGTCTCCTTGCACTTCTCCGTGTTGTCGGGATAGAAGTTGATCTGCGACCAGGCGATGTCCCCGACGCCCCAGCGCACGAGGGCGAGCAGCAGCGAGCAGCGGAGCATGATGTTTCCGAGCATCGCACTTCACGGGCTGCCCCGGTCAACCATCGATGTCCATGCCGTTGCTTGCCTCGGTTAATTTCCCTTCAAGTTGCTGTATTTCAGTTGGCTGCTCTTTCAGATGGCTCCGTGAAAAAGGGCTGCCAAAAACATGGCCGACGGCGATTTGGCGGCGGCGGCCGCGGCCATGCTGAAAAAGGACGCGGACGACGACGACCACGTGAGCGTCGGGTCCGGCCTGTCGTCCGACGAGGAGGACGCCGCGCCGCGCAAGCCCGCGGGCGGCGCGTCCCAGAGCGAGGAGCGCAAGCGCCTCATCGCGGAGAAGATGTCGCGCATCGGCGGCGCCAAGGGCGGCTCGGCCTTCGCGCCGCCCGCGCGGCGGCGCCTCGACGCGCCCGACGCGACGACGTCCTCCATGGCCGCCGCGGCGGACGAGCTCCGGAAGGCGCTCGGCGGCGAGGGCGACGACGACGAGCCGCCGTCGCCGGCCAAGTCGAAGCGGAGCAGCCTCGGGTCGCCGGCGGCGCGCGCGTCGCCGACGCGGGACCTCACGGCCGACACGCTCGACAAGGCCGCGCGGACGCTGCTCGGCGAAAAGACGGACGCGACGTCCGAGGCGCTCAACCGCGCGGCGAGGACGCTGAGCCCCACGAAGGAGCTCGACGGGTCGCGGCGGAGCTCGCCGACCAAGGGCCTCGAGGCCGCCGCGCGGCGCGTCGCGTCGCCGACGCCGCCGGACGTCGAGGCGGACTTGGAGCGGGCCGCGAGGGCTTTGAGCACACCCGACGACCTCCTCGAGGCCGCGGCCCGCAAGCTCGCCGAGGAGGAGAAGAAGCGCGGCGGCGGCACCGACGACGACGACGTCGCCGCCGCCGCCGTCGCGCTCGCGGAAGCCGAGCCGGACGCGCCGCGCGTCGTCTCGTGGGCCGCGNGCGACGTCGTCGACGC